CTAATTTCAGAAGTCAATCGAAAAAGAATAAGATAGTTGAACAGACTCATACTGGAAATGATTCATATCCCATGAGTACTTGGCTGATGAAATACACTCATGATCTATTCCGAAATGAGTTAAGTGTTTGAATAGTATTCTATTTGAAATTGTGCACTTGTAATGTTATGCTTGAAGATTAAAATCTATGAGATTTTTCCACCAATAGAGAAGAACAATTGAATGGATTCATACTTTGAATAATTCACTATTCATATTATGATCAATCATACGATGTAGCATCCCACTTCGTTTCAAATCGAAAAATATATTTGAGCATTACACTGCAACCAATGCAGAGGCAGTTATTTCATTTCTATGTGTTTGTCAGTATACCTCAAGTTGTTGTTTTTCGAGAACATCTTAACGAACTATTTGAATTTTATCACTGTCTCGCTAATTCGTTATCTTAAACATGATCGTTAAAGATCAAAAAGTTCAATAAAAATGAGAATAAAGTCAGTCATGAAATGCATAAATAAATAAAAGTTCTTTTGGTGAATTTTCAGTTCGGTCGCTGTTGACCCTTAGTACTTGAGTCTATCATCTGAATGCGACCTTCACGCAACGAAGAAAAGACTTTAACTGCACCCCTTATTTCTCACGAAGTATTCGTAACAACGTTACCGACATATCCTTTGGCATAACTTGTTCACTGTGTATTGCAAGCAGCAATCTTTTGCACATGATTGTCGATGATTAGTAACTCCTTCGGATTTAAAAGCTCTTAAAGAGTTTGGACACATGTACGTGTTATTCTTATTGCACTGAAGCACTTCCAGAACTTTGATTTGAGGTACAGGTATTCTTCTCTTTTTCTTCATTTTGTGTTCTTGCACAATATTTCTGATGTTATTATGAATTGATTTCACTAGCACTGGTCTGTTGATCAGTGCTCTCCATTCATCTTGAACTAAGATATCTCTTCCTCAGCTGTGAATTTGGCTTTTCTTGAGATTATCAGCAATTTTAATTTCCGATGTCTCATTCGGAGCTGCATTTCTTGATTGCTCCAAGTTCGGATAGTAAAGAGCTACTTTTCATTCGTGAACATTAAGAAAATCAATTCCAAGTAAAATAAAACTGTTTGAAACCTTCGATGGATTGGAACTTGACAACTGTATGACTTTACTGTAAAACGATTAAATTTAATAGTTAAATTTTAAAGACTTAATCAATGGAAACACCTATAGGAAACAAATCATTTTGGAAAGTTTTAGTAAAAACTTTTTTTTTTGTGTACTCAAAAAGTGAGTACACTATAGAATCGGTTAGTGTGTCCGGCCGGCCGTATACACGATAACTTTCGAAAGGAGAGTCAGATTGCGATGAAATTTTCTACACAGCTTAGTCTTGACAATATCTCGGTCGAGTTCGAAGAT